AGTCAAATGATGAAGCACATTTTGATTCAAGTGTAGAGATTGGTGTGAAATATCTGAAGAGAAATAGATCAAAGAGCAAGGATTGTGATAAAAATATTAAAAGGAAGAAATATGTAAAGGTTAAAGGACAGCCTATAAAACTAGAACAATATTTATTGCTTGAAAATGTGAAACATTTTAGAGAGGTGTTAACAGATTATACAATCCAAGAAGGGTTTCAAATTAGAAAGACAAAAAATGAGAGTTCAAGGGTAACTTGTGTTTGCAAAGCCAAAGGTTGTCCATGGAGGATCCATGCCTCCCCACTGCATTGTAAGAATTACATGATAAAAACATACAATGACAATCATTCTTGTGTGAGGGGTGATAAAAATCCATTAGCCAATTTTACATGGATTGCAAAGAAGTTTTTTAAGAAACTCAAACAAAACCCACAAATGACAGTTGAAAGTCTGAGAACTGCACTGCATGAAAAATATGGCATTAGGGCAAAGAAACAACAATACTATAGGGCAAAAAGAAAGGCATTGGATGTGTTTGAGGGTAACTATGGGAAGTCATACAGTTTGCTGCCCTCCTATAGGAACGAAATTAGGAGGACAAACCCTGACAGTTTGGTCACACTTGATTATTATGATGCTGAATTCAATGGAGTGAATAGATTCAGAAAGATTTTCATTACTTTTGATGCTTTGAGGTCTGGGTTTATAAAAGGCTGTAGGCCGTTCATTAGGTTAGATGGCTGTTTTTTAAAGGGCCCACATGGTGGAGTGCTTTTGTCAGTTGTGGCCTTAGATGGCAATAATGGTCTATTCCCCATTGCCTATGCTGTGGTAGAAAGTGAAGGGAAGGAGACATGGACTTTTTTCTTAGATAATTTGAAGGATATTCTTGGTGTAGATGCACATGCCAGACATTGGACAATTATGTCTGATATGCAAAAGGTATAATTTTTTTCTTTAAATGTTCATTATTACACAATTCATTATTAAATTGTTCATAATTACTTTTAATTTATTTTATTTTGCATTTCAGGGTATTGAGGTTGCAATTTCTAACTTATTTCCTGAGGCAAGCCATAGGATTTGTTCTAGGCACTTGTTTAACAGTTTTAGGAAGGATAATCCTAGGTTGTTGTTGAAATTTTTTTTCTGGAAAGCTGCAAGATCATGCAATGAACTTGAATTTAATGATGCAATGAATCAAATGAATGTGATTTCTACAGAAGCTCATAATTGACTAATGAACAGGCCTTTGGAAATATGGTCTAGGATGGGGGTATGGTGAGACATCAAAGAGTGACCATATCACAAACAATTTGACTGAATCCTTCAACAATTGGGTTAGTCATTATAGGTCTAAGCCAATCTTGAATATGCTTGAGTGGATTAGGATTAAATTAATGGTAAGAATCTAGAAAAGGTATCAAAAAGTTTTAACTTGGAAGGGAAATTTGACACCAAATGCTTTGAAAAAATTAAACACATCCATTCAAGAATTAAGAGGGTGTAGAGTTTGTCCTGCTGGGAGGGAGGAGTTTGAAGTTCATGAAGTGGTGGGAGTAAGTGTGGTTAATTTAAACTTGAGGACTTACTCATGTAGAGCATGACAGATATCAGGGATACCTTGCAGGCATGCAGCTGGTGCTATTTCATGGAATAGGCAGGACCCTGAGCATTTTTGTGATCCTTGTTACAGCAAGGACACATATCTACTTGCCTACCGTAGGATGAGTCATCATTTGATGGATGAGAAGATGTGGCCCAAAACTCCATTAATTGACTTATACCCTCCTAAACCAAGAAGATTACCTGGTAGACCAAGAAAAAATAGAAGAAGGGAACAAGGTGAACCTACCTCTGCAAGTGCAAGTGTAGTACCTAAGAGATCATCAGTTGTAACATGCAAGTATTGCCTACAAACTGGTCATAATAGGAGGACTTGCCAGAGAGCTCAAACAGTAAGAGAAAGAGCTGCAGTAGCAAGAGGGAGCGCTGTAAGTGGAAGAAGAAAAGCTCAAACAGCAACAGTGAGTGTTTAAGTCAATTTTAAACTTGCTATGTTTTGATAAATTTCTTTTATTATTGATTTATATACCTTCTAATTATTAATTTAGGAAAACATAAGGTCTCAAACTCAATGATTAGAAGGAGCAGGAACTTCTGGTGTTACACAACAGGTATAAGTCCTTACTTATGTTCACTATAACAAATTTTCAATTATATGATTACCCAATACTGTACTTAGCTAATTTTTTTTGTTTAAATTTTTTTAAGTCCCAAACTGCTAGGAGAGGTGGAAGAAATGTAAGTGGAAGAGGTGGAAGAAATGTACGTGCAAGAGGAGCTTCTCAACCAAATGTGAGTGGCATTGGTGGTGGTTCTCAACAAAATGTGAGTGGTAGCAGAGTTGGAAGACAGCCAAACCAGAGTGGCATCAGAGGTGGAAGACAGCCAAGTGAGAGTGGTATTGGTGTTAATCCTCCACCACGGGTAAGCAATAAATTACCTAATATTTATCCTTATACATATTAATTTATTGTTGCATTAGTATTCCAATCATAATATTCAATTACAGAGAGAGTAGCAAAAGCAGCAGTACCAAAAAAAAAAAACACAACAGTGAGCTGGTTTTAGAGAGAGTAACTAGCAGTTGGAGGCTCCTTTGGGTTTTATTCACCACACAAAAGTGAGGATTTTTTTATGACCTACTTTGTTTGAAACTTGTAAGTTGTGGTTGACAATGGTTATGTTTTTTTTTTTTTTTTTTTTTTTTTTTTTGTGGTTTCTCAGTAATAGATGATGCTTGATTTGTGGTTGTATATGCATGTGCAATGATAATAGATTAATGATGCTTCAATGGTAAATGTACTCAATATAGGTCAATATTCATTGCATAATTTTATTTCAAATAAATAGCGAAAACAGATAATAAGAAGCAAACAAATACAACTATCTTCAAATACAAAATAGTTGTTTCAACAACTTGTAACCTTGAACCTATAACTTGTCTCTGCAACCTCAATTCAGCAACAACCTCAAGCAAAAGTTGATTTGTAGGTGAATACTCCGCAGCAGCACCAACAGCAGCAGCACCAACAGAACCATCTATAGGGTTACACCATTCTCAAAAACTACATGTTTCATTTTCACAAGTATAATACAGCATTCCTTTGTTGCGATTTTTGTCATTCTCTATAACCTTCACTATAGCAAAATCCCCACAACGACAAATCTTGTTCCTATACTGTATATAGCCTCTGCTTCTACCTTCACGACTATTTACGCTTGATTGAGACATCACTTTACATAGGAGAATATAAGAGAGGAAGTGCAAAGGAACATTGTGCCTATCTCTTATTTATAGAAGCCAAACATGACCGTTGGAGTTGAGGGGCAATCTGGGCATTAACATGGACTTTGTGGGCAATCTGGGCATTTTAATTGCTTTATAACCTGAAGCCAAACATAACCGTTAATGTTTGTAAACAAACAGAACCGTTTAGGGGCAATCTGGGCACTAAAAGATCATTTTTTGCTGACGTCGGCAAAAAGTATCTCTGACCAACTTTGACCATTGACTGAGGGGGGAGACTGATGTGTGTCAGAAAAAGTAGGAACGTCTGACTGAAATTTTGTAAACGTGGGGGGAGGGGGGGTCTCCTTGAAGTTAGGACATACCTCAGGGGGTGTAACTGAAGTTAACCCTAAAAAAACAATCTAAAAAATACTTAAATTAAAAAAATGAAAATGGTGTATGATAAAATAATAATAATAATAATAATAATAATAAAAAGAAAAAAGAGTTAAAAAAAAATTTACGTGCCTTACTTCATCTAGGATAAAGACAAGGATAATAACGATAGCGATCACGTCCACATAAAGATTCACAATATTCATTTTTAGTCGCAGGTGAACCAGAAAAAGTGGGGCCGCCACAGAATGGGCCATCGCTATCTTTTCAATTTTTATTTTATTTTATTTTATTATTATTATTATTATTATTTTCAAATCAATGAACTCCTTGTTTAAGCATCAGCGCCAATAATTATATAAAACAGTCTACTCTTCCAAATGAAAGATTTTTTTTTTTTTTTGGGTAAGTTTCTCTAAAATTTAGACAAATTACATATAAATAGAGCATTTGACTTTTATTATTTTGACCTCTCACGAGATTTAACGCGTTTGTTCAATGACACCCATATCGTTAATGAAAATTTAAGAAATGTCTAAATTGTCATTTTCTTATGTTAAAAGACATTAATAACCTTATATATTGTCATCATGAAGTGACTTTGAAATAGTGCAAAGTATTAATTTTCTTATTTATTTTCTGTTAATGACATTTGATTAGGTTTCTTTTTAGGAGTTGATTAGTTTTTTTTTTTTTTTTTTCAAATATATATATATATAGGTAAATTGTTATTAAATTAAATAGGGGTATAAAAGACATTTAACACGTCAAAGTAATAAGGATACAACAAGAGACAAATTTCTCATATATAATTTCGATGCTCCTACAAACTTACGAAAAAAAATCTCAAATGAAAGTAGTACTAAATAAGAGTAACGAGTCAAAAAAAAAAAAAAAAAAGGACAAAAACATATACTTTTTATTTAGTACTTACATATATATTCTTAACATTTTAAAATATATTCAAATTGCCTCCTAATATTTTTTGACCCTCAATTTTGATTTTTTTTTTTTTTTTTGTTAAAAACCCAAAAATAGGATTAATAACTCTCTCTCCTCTCTCTCACCCTGAAATTAATGTTTATTTTTATTTTTATTTTGTCTTAAGGGCATTTTAGTTATTTTAATTTTTAAATTGATAAAATATCCTTATTTACTCAATTGGAAAAGTGTAAAGTGTTTTTTTTAACATTTGGGGAATATTTGCACATTTTGTATATAATAGAATTTTTATTTGTATTTTACCCATTAAATAATTAATTGTGTAAAAAAAGTAATAAATAAATAAATTATGCTAGCTTGTATAACTTCTTTTTCTTGGAAGGGGAAAGTAAAGTGTGTGAGTATTTTCCCCGACAAAAGAAAAAAAAAAAAAAAAAAAAAAAAAAAAAAGCCAAAATTCAGAAACAAAAAAATCTTCATGAATTATTAAAATTGATGCAACGATTTATGTTACTACGTCATTACACGAAAGTATGTCTTGTTTGGCGCGCGGTAGACCACGACTTGTCTTACTATAAACGTAAGCCATTTTGGTACAAGGGGGTTGGAATCCTGAGCTGTCTTCATTCATTTTCATGACCAAACAAGTGTGTCTTCAATTTACAGAAAAAAGAAAGAAAAAAAAAAAAAAAACAAGTGTGTCTTCAAACACATTACACCTGCACACTGTCTATAAATACAAGACACAAGTGTGCTAAACACAACTCAATTGTGTAAACACACACACTTACACACACACAGAGAGACGAGCAGTACACAGTGCAGCTTCAAGAGCTAGCAACCTTCTGGAGGAAGTACTAACCGCATCATAGCCGTTGATATGGATCAGAGTCAAACCCCACCATCCATTACTGCTAGTACCAAAAACAACAAAGATCAGTACCATGATCACGAGGATCAAAAGTACCAGCAGGTGTCCCTATCTCTTTCATGTCATCCATAATTTCATATTCTAACCACATATATATGTGTGTGTATATATTTTCAAAATATATATATATATATGTTCAACATCTGAAAATTTTCATGCATGCATGATCAGAAACCTGGATGGAGAAAATTCCTATCATATGTAGGCCCTGGTTTCCTTGTTTCATTGGCTTATCTTGATCCAGGGAACTGTAAGTACTCTCTCTCACAATATATATATACATATATGTATATAACTGTTCTTTTTCTCAATTTAATTTCTTGGGTAACTTCTATTTGTTCTTAATCAATTATCTAATTGTTAACTTCATATATATTAATATTTGATAATGACTACGTTACAGTGGAAACTGATTTGCAAGCAGGAGCTAACCATGGATTTGAGGTATACATACACACACACACACACACACACACACACACACATATATATATATTAAGATTAAGGTCATAAATTCAAAAAATTGCATGCAAGAGATGAGAAACTAATCAATACCCATGTCATTTTTATAAAATCAGCTACTATGGGTAATCCTTATTGGATTGATCTTCGCTCTCATTATTCAGTCACTCGCAGCAAATCTTGGTGTAAGCACCGGTATGATACAAACAATCTTCAGCTAAATCAAACAAAAAATAATAAACTACATTTGTCTCCATATATATATATATAAATATATATGTATAGATATATATTTGTCAGCATTATACATATTTATGATTTTTGTTAAAATTTGTATTTTTGTTACTTGATTTGCAGGGAAACACCTATCAGAATTATGCAAGGCGGAGTACCCAAAATATGTAAAGTATTGCCTATGGTTGCTGGCAGAGCTCGCCGTCATAGCGGCCGATATACCTGAAGGCATGGCCGCCTCTAAACTATATAGTCAAACTACTATTCTTTTCCATCTGATATAACTATGTGTGTGTGTGTCTATATATATATTTATATATATATATAAGAGAACCTTCATAAGAATCATAACATTTGTAATTATGTATATATATGTTGCAGTGATTGGGACAGCTTTTGCACTGAATATACTGTTCCATGTCCCAGTTTGGGCTGGAGTTCTCTCTACTGGTTTCAGCACTCTTGTACTTCTTGGCCTGCAGAAATATGGGGTAATTTTAATATTTATATATACATATAATATATATATACGCTTGCTTTTTCAATAATATTACAAAGCCACCTTTCAATTTTTTTTGCAAATTTATTAATTTATACCTTTTTAAATACTAAAATATATGCTTTCATGCATACGAATTAATCTGATGGGCAAGAATGAAAAGTGAAAACAAAATAATATTTTCTCAGTCCCGAGAAATTATTATATATATGGTCTATACGTATGATCAATCATAATTTGATATAAAAAAAAAAATTAAAGAACACATTTATTTACATAACGAATTGTGATTCGTTGGACCATGTAAACAATCCACATGACCCTACCTTAATACGTTAAGCACGGGTGGATAAGAATAAAAGGTAGAGTGGTGCATGTATGGATGACACGTTAATAATTAAATAATTAAAAGAAAACACAAATATAAGGATAAAAGGTAGAGTGGTGCAGCCAATGATTGTATATGGATGACACATTAATAATTAAATAATTAAAAGAAAACACAAATATAAGGATAAAAGGTAGAGTGGTGCAGCCAATGACTGTATATGGATGACACATTAATAATTAAATAATTAAAAGAAAACACAAATATAATATTGGAATTAAAAGACTATGGTCGATTTTAAAAGTGATATAGTCAATTTTTCTTAGGAAAATTAGCTTTCTTTGATTCTATTCCTCGATATTCACCTTTCATTGTAGTAATTTTAATTTATTTCATAAAAAAAATTGATATGTTATCATTGTCAGTATTTTTTAACAATTTTTTTTAATAGAACAATTGGTAATCTACATAGTCTCGTAGCTGTTGTTTTAAATATTAAATTTACATATTTGTTTCTGTACGCAGTGCTCATCATTTGTTTTTTTAGGTAAAAGTGCTCATCATTTTTCAATACTCTCTTGTTGACAAATTTCTCATACACGGATCAATTGGTCATTTGTCATCTTGTGCATGTCTCTTCTTATACAATGGACAACATTTTCTTTCCTGTCTATTATTTAAATTCTCCTACAATTGTGTTTTTATTAGTCAACAATGACAACAAATTACCATCACCTGGTCACATTTATGTCAGATGATGCTTATATATTTATCTGCTTCTGTTTGCGTTTTCTTTTAATTTATCTTATGAGTCAGTAGAGGGCGGAGGGAGGGGTGGGCTTTAGCGCATCCCAAATTTTTTTTTTTTTTTTTGTTTTTATTATACTACTTTCAGTCCAGTCCAAAAAAAAAAAAATTTAACCCACCCAAAATTAGTCCAATCCTAAATTAATCCATCCCAATCAGCAATCCTGGATCCGCCAATAAAACAAATACATTGTAAAACGCATTCCAATTTCTGAACCAACCAAATTCTTTTCAAATGCATCGGTTGTATGTGAACGAGGCATGTTTGGGACAAAACTATCATTTTTTGTCTGTCTCTCTTTTTAGATGCTAGTCTCGTGTTTGTTTAAAATCGTTTAGGACTCGTTTGGTAATTATAATTATTTTGTGCTTTTATTTTGTTTTGAAATAAAAATAATGTTTCTGCTTTAAGGTGTGTTTAATACTATTTCGAAATTTATTTGGTAATGTAAATTTGTTGCAAAATTTTTAAAAACAAAAACATGATAGCATGTTTAGTAAAAAGTGTTGCAAGTTTGAAAATTTGAATGATTAGTTAAAAATGTAAATTTAGAAAAGGTTTTTTTTTTTTTTTTTTTTTTTTGAACAATATTTTGCTACCGCACGGAAGCAAACAAAAGCATCATTTTGATGCTTGTGATTTTGGCCTCAATTTTGGAAACGCTTTAGTACTATTCAAATGACAATAAACATTACCAAACATGTTTCGTACTTTTACTTTATTACAGTACACTAACAAAAGTAAAAAATACAAAATAAAAGTATTAACCAAACAAACCCTAGCAAATAAATCCTCTCATCACATCCCATACTCCGCTCACATTATAAGTGTTATATTATTCTCGTGATTAAATTGCTTTTCGTATTTAGGATACGGGACATTCTTGCCTGAAAAAAAGAAAAGAATTGAACAGAATTTTGATCTTTTCTAATAATAGCTACATTTGTGACATTGACAAAATAATCGTAACCACGTAGTAATTAGAGTCTAACATTATTTGCATGGCCTGTCTTTATTGAAGAAGTGTTAGTCAACCAAATGAAGGTCTTAAAATAAGTTAAACTTGTATTAAATTTTCTCAACTCGATTTCAGTTCAACGTTAGTCGTGACCGGGCACGGACCCAATAAGGGTTCAGTGCGGGCAACTGTCCCCACTTAAACTTTCTTTAATTAAAAAATTATCCATACAGTTTGTGAAAATTTTAAAAATATCCCCACTCATTTTTTCTTTATATCCCACTATATATCATTGTTCAAGATCGCTCCACTCGTATAATTCTCTAGGGTCTTCAGTGGCCGTGGTTAAAGTTTTTGACAACTCAAGTCCAACTCAAATGAACCTTTATTATACTCGGTATGTAATAGCAATATAATTAAAACCTAGGCAAATTAAAAATATATATAAGTTTAACCCGGTTCAGTTCCGAGTATAACCCGACTCTAAAGCAAATAAACTGTGAATCGGAGCTTGATCCGACCAATTTGACTTTTCGAAACCTACGCACAACACTGGGTTCGTCCGAGACTTGAATTAAAAGTGCATGTCACACATGGTCCCTAAAATTTGAGACACACGCACGTGACCACACCACACTCATATCCATATATAGCATTTATCAATGTGGCAGATAACAAACACTGCCTAGGTCAACTATTGAAGTGGTCCTGTAGTAGTTGCTGTTACCTACACTAAATTTTTATTCCAAGGCTGCATCCATTCCATTATTGTTTGGTTCCTGGGAAAGCATGAGAAATTGAAAGAAAATCTGGAATTAGTATGAACGTGCATATATATATATATATATATACTAACCAAAAAGCTTGCTAGCTAGATAAAGAAACTTTTGACCCTTTTCACTTTGATTAACAAGTTTACAAATTATTGTGCATTATTTCCACATTTTATGCTACAATTATATGTATGCTGAGAATTGATTATGAAAATAGGTGAGGAAGCTAGAAATGTTGATCGCGGTGTTGGTTTTCGTCATGGCGGGATGTTTTTTTGGAGAAATGAGCTATGTGAAACCTCCGGCAGCTGATGTGCTCAAGGGAATGTTTGTGCCTAAACTTTCCGGTCAAGGTGCCACCGGGGACGCCATTGCTCTACTCGGTGCCCTTGTTATGCCGTATGATCTCATCTTTTATCTCTTTTATACGACTTTTTACTTCATGAACAAGAATTCGGATCCCCCTTCCATTTAAAGGATTCCGTGCACTAATACAATGCAATTACATCACAAAATGTAACATATTGTCAATTTTAACTTGTTGCTAGGGGCAAACCCAACATAGGACCAGCGAGGGCGGATACCCCCACTAAATTTTTAGTATTTTTATTTTATATTTCAAACTTTTTAAAATTTTTGAAGATACCCTCACTAAAATTACAATTTGCCGACTTTTTTTTTTTTTTTTTTTTTTTTTTTTTTTGCATTTTATGCTTTAAATTTTTTATAATTTATGAAGTTGCCCCTACTATTTTTTTTTTTTTTCATTTTAAAATTTATGAAGAAAATCCTATTGAAATTACAAAAATGAACCCACCATATAAGTTTGTCCTCACAAATTAAAAGGCCGCCTCCCTCACAAAATTTTCTGGATCCGACACTACTTGTTGCATTCACGATTTAAAATTGTTGAATTCGGCACACAATTGACACAGAAGAAAAATAACATAGAGGAGGATCCTGGTTCCATAAACACGAACACGCTCATCAACATGTCATTTTTTATAGTAGTTTTTTATATACATTATGTGCTTAATTGTTACTAACAATTCATTTTTTTTTCTTTTTTCTGGATTATTTTCAACAGACATAACCTTTTTCTCCACTCGGCTCTTGTACTCTCTAGGAAGATTCCCAACTCTGTGCGGGGCATCAATGTAAGCCAAACCATAGGAAATACATCTAGATTACATATATATATATATGTGCTACATATTTACATAGATATACAAATGTTTATATATACATGATATAATTTTATTTTATTTTATTTTTCAACAAATTTCATAAATGCTACATGTGTGTACAGAAACTTTAATTCATATATATCCAGACATTTTATGCATTATTTCAAACATAAATGTTATGGGTACAGAGAGATTCAGACACTGAGACACATGCAAACACACACATTCATGCATATGTGTGTGTAATTTACTCATGTTAATAAATACTTTTTTTTTTTTTAGTTAATGGTAAGCTAAAAAAAAAAAAAAGTATTAAATAAATAAATAAAGTACCACAAAATTGAACAATCATTTGTTAGATCATAATTAATTTATTAAACCTTCTTATTTGTAACTTTGGCTTTTGCTAAGGCCACCAATTTATTTATTTATTTATTTATTTATTTTTTTTTTTTGAAATGTAAATTGAATTTATAGAAAATAAGATTGTACAGCCACAAAAGAAGGCTCAAGAAAAGCCCAAAGGAAGAATACAAAAGCAATCCAAAAGGAGGCAAGCCCAAAGGTGACAACCCAAACACAAATGGGAACAATCCGGTCAGCGCATGGAGCCCAAAGGCCACTTGTTAACGAAGAAAATTTTACCATCTCACTTATATTTCTTTTATATATTTTATATTTTAATTCAAAAATTATAATCCAGAATATTATAAGTAAATATGTAAACAAAAACATTGAACTGTAAATGTTTGGGAAGAAGAGATAATTTCAAAAACTTAACAATGATTATTAGAGAAATATTTAATACTAGTACTTAAAAAACTACTTAACATATTCCCCTAACAACATCCTATGTGTGTGTATACACACACATGTTCACAAAATTTACTCATGTATCTCTTCATATTTTGCAGGATGCATGTCGATACTTCTTGATAGAGAGTGGATTTGCTCTTTTCGTAGCATTTTTAATCAATGTCTCAGTGATTTCTGTATCCGGCTCTGTTTGCTCGGCTAAGAATATCTCAGTGGAGAACTCGAGCCGGTGCAACGATCTCACCCTTAACTCTGCTGCTTTCCTTCTCAAGGTATAAACCACTTTAAAACCCGAATTAAAAATCTAAGTACGTAATTAAACTCGGAATAATAATTTAACATAATTTTCCATTCATCTGCAGAATGTGCTCGGAAAATCAAGCTCGACTGTATATGCCATAGCACTATTAGCCTCGGGCCAAAGTTCCACAATTACAGGAACTTATGCTGGACAATATATCATGCAGGTTATAATTCTATATAGATATAGATGTACATATATATATATATATATATATATATATATATATGCGTGAAAATATTGTAATTATGTTATATTAAATTGGGGTGCAATTTTTAGGGTTTTTTGGACCTCAAGATGAGAAAATGGAAGAGGAACCTTCTGACTAGGTGCATCGCCATTACACCTAGTCTCATTGTGGCAATTATAGGTGGGCCTCAGGGTGCTGGACGGCTAATCATAATTGCTTCGGTTAGTAATTCATGGACTACATTTTTTATTAATATTTTTTTTTATTATTAGTAATACAATTTGAGTGAATTATTTTTGGAATACATTTTTATTAATATATATGTCTATCTTATAATTATTATTGCAATTTGAGTAAATTATTTTTGTTGTCTTTGATTTTGCAGATGATACTTTCTTTTGAACTTCCATTTGCTCTCATTCCTCTCCTTAAATTCAGTAGTAGTGCCACCAAGATGGGACCACACAAGAACTCAATATACGTAAGACATATATATATATATATATAATTAAAAAAGAAATAAAGCTAATTTAAGCTTCATGTACTGAAATTAAAATGTAAAATTTTCACATTACTAACCATTTTAAGGTCATGAATGCAGATCATTGTGTTCTCATGGCTACTAGGGTTGGGAATCATTGGCATAAACATATATTACCTGACCACAGGCTTCATAAACTGGCTAATTCACAACAATTTACCAAAAGTTGCAAATGTGCTTGTCGGAATGGTAGTGTTCCCCCTAATGGCCATCTATATTTCTTCGGTTATATATCTGATGTTTCGCAAAGACAAGGTCGAGACATGGGTTGAGACGACGAAGCTTGAGAACCCTAATGCCCAGACGATCATGGAGGACGGGCATGGAAACTCCGCGGTTTTGCCGGGGTTGGACCGTGTTCCTTTTAGGGAGGATTTGGCTGACATCCCACTGCCTGAATAGGGATGCTCAAATGAAGTGTACTCTATGAAAGTTTTGGTCCATGGCATGAAGCTCTATGTCCCTAACATGTCTGTAGGGTATAAAAGAATCAACATGTTGGCAAAAGAGCTTCATTTTTAGGTTGTACTAGGTGCATGTTTAATACATGGTCAAAACTATTTATAATGAAGGTAACAGCAGTTAGATGGAAATTCATAGGAAATTTTATTTTATTTATTCGACATTTTAGATGAATGTCGAACACTTTTTTATGTAACATAATCTATTTGATTGTATAAATTAGTATCTATTCATTCTGACCTCAGGTCATGATTCTACAGACCTAATTTATCAATACATTCCATTGACCTAAGCTTCAAACTGATGGGGGCCAATATGAGCCATTGATTGATTGACGACCGAGATCTTCCTAGGCCGAATCATATGGCCCAGATCATATTCAAACTCGTGTTGCATGTCTGACCTCTAAATTATAACACTCCATAATCCATCACCGAACACACGATAATTACTAATTACAATTCACGTGCATCATGCAGACTCAGTGAGAATAACACGATAACGATGCTTAAAGGCAAAACTGTATGACCAATTCTATGTGTAATTATCTCAATATGTGACAAGTGAATTAAATTTACAGCACTTTATGTGCATTACAATCATAACCCTACCATGAACAACTATCTATCATCTAGAAAAATAGTAACTTTGCTCATTGGAACAAGTTGAATGACCATCAAGTGAGGTTACATATGACTATGAATCAACTTAGCAGGGTCCAGTATGAGAGAACAAGAAGAGATATAAGTGAAAACTCACTCAACTGAGAATTAGAACTGATGCTTCTCAGCACATCCTAACTCACCTGCACCCTAGGAGAAGAATGATTAGCTTCATGGAAAGAAGTATTTTCGTGGCGAACGGAATAAATATTAAAATCATCGACTGAGAATTAGATTATTCTAAGTTCCTTGCACATGGCATTATCTGTACATATCCACTCTTTCCCATATCCAATAGCTCCTAAACCACTTTACATCACCACTTGAACCTAAAAAAAATCACAAAGGTAACCGTTTGCTGGTCAGATGGTCCAACCAATCCAATCAAGCTGGACTCAAAAAGGAAAATGGAAAAGAAAAGAAAAAAATTAAGAATGTGACTTTTTGGTACAAGTTTCGGGTAAAGAAAATATCTAATTTAAACTAAAAACATAAATTAACAAAACACACACACACACATATGTTGAGAACTCACTAATACTTTGTTTGGGAAAATTTAAAAGCCAATCAACTTTTTAGTAAGGAACCTTAAACCTCGAACATGGAGCAGGCAGATCAAATTGCCTTTCTCTCAATCAAAACAGGGAAAAAAAAATGAAGAAAATTTTGCATGTTTCTCAAGTTTCTTATATGCAGATAAACTAGTGGAAACCAAAATAAATGAACTTGAAAGTTGACAACTTGTCAATAAAGACCTTTAATTATTGGAAGAAGGCAAAAGTTTCAATTCAAAACATTCCAAAGAATAAGAACATCAGAAAAGTATACCTGGTGATTTCTAATATTAGCAGATAGCCTTTGAATTTCACGTTCTTCATGATCCGCGAACAATTTTGCCTTTGTTGCTGCAGCAGAAAGTCCGGTTTTGACAGCAGCGCTCACTTTTTCAGCAGATAATGGAGTAACATTCCCTTCATCTACATTACATGGCCCTTAAACTACTGAGCTTTCTTCTGCAATTTAGTAACTATGAATATTCGAGGAAGAAAAATCTAACAAGAATATCAAAATTGACAGTCTACCTTTTTGCTGACTTGAATTGGTAAGTTCTCCACGATAATTCCCTTCCCTGCCATGCATGCAGGTGGAAAAAAAATCAAGTTTGTTTTTCCAAAATTGTGAATTACAAAACTTTTAAAAATTTATAGTGGGTCGTGACAATGTAATCTTCCTCCCTATTTCATAGCCATTCTTACCAGTAGAACAGAAGTTTTGTGAGATTTATATGCACCACTCTCAAGTGCACGAATCTTTACAGATAGGGTTTACTTGTAAGGGTGTCGTACCCAAGGGACTTGTGTAAAATAAGTTTATCAACAGATTTCTTAAATTCCAAATTAGCTTAAAAATAGGATAATCAGATTGTGATGATTTATTTTAAATTAATTAAGTAGAAAAATAAAATAAGAACAATGATTAAATATGATGGAGAAAATAGAGAGAAAGGACTAGGGGAATGATTTCACCATTAACGTCGCACCACCAGTCAATTGCATTAATTTATTGGAGATATATCATATAACATGCATAGGGGATTAATCATGGTTACAAGCACATATTAATTCAGCTAGAAAATAATATAATTCAAAACTAAGTATAGACTATCTTCGATTGGTATAAACCATCTACCTAACTACTTTACTCTAGGGTGTAGTGTGGTCTATCTTTTCTAGGCTTAATCTATCAAATCTCTAACATCATATTCAGAGAAATACCATTGTGTAATCATCTTATTCACAACTACAAGAAGTGAATGAGTTGTGTTCAATCACAAAATTAAAATATCTAAGACAAGATAAAAAAATATTTGTAATTGAATTAAAACTCTAAAATCGATTCTTATTGAAAAGTCAATTAAAAATACTATAGATTACACAATCATGCATGATAAAAATTGTTCTCCAATAAATAAATATAATCAAACCAGTGTCTCCAATAAATAAATACAATCAAACCAGTGTGCTAAGCTAAGGCTACATCACAACCCTAGCAAAGCGTTTAGCCAAGCATGACTGAAGTGGAATTCTTCATAGTTGAGGAAGACATTTTCACCGCCATGGATCGATCTCTTCTTTCTTCTAAATGTTTTTCCTCTGATCTCAGCCTCAAGCTCCTTTGTATGATAATGCTTCAATGCTGTAGATGACTCCCTTTAAATAATAAAAGATTAGCCCTAAAGTTCCCTTTTTTTTCATATAGAAGACATACATAGAAATTCTGTCAAATAAGGACTCCAAAATTCGTACAGACTTCTAGCCCAATTTTGACAAGGTAAACAGTTGTTTTATGGAATCTTCGTGAAATATAAAATTGTAACTCTTCGAATTTCCTTTCAACCTACGCGAGAATTTAGTTGTTTACCTTGTCAAAATTGGATGTTGTAACTTGTGGAGAGAGATACAGCCAGATTATTAAAACGGGTTCAAGTTACCAACTTTGGCAAAGGCTTCTTTTTTGGAGAAAGGTTTTTCCTTTTCTTCTTCTTTCCATTCTCATCAACTTGTGGCTTCTTTTGGACTATTTTCTAAGTATAATTAGACTTGGATCTTCAACATTGCTCGGTCCCACGGAATGCCATCTTTTAAAGCTCAGAATCACCCATTTTAGCTGATTTTACAATTAAAGTTCTGAAATAAATAAAAACAATAAAATAATGAAAAATCACAAATAAACTATTATTAAGAGAATAAAAAATATAAGTAAAGGGGTTAAAATGTATAACGTTTAGCGCCTACCAAGTAGCCATACTTATTTATTAAACATATAAAACATGTGTATCCTATTTATTTAATATTAATTAGATGTTGTAACTTGTGGCACTACACGACCCATTTAATTATCTATTTAGTATTTTTCTTAATTATAATATGCAAATATAACAAAGAAAATTAAAATATTGAATGAAAATTTAAAAGCTTCCATTTAATCTTAATAAATTACACAACTAATTAACTTGGTTTTCGTAATAATACAATGCATTAACAAAAATAATTGTATTTTTGTAAATATGTTGGAATTTATTAAACGAGTTGACATGACACATTTAACTAAACATGTCTATTGAAGGATTTAACTATTAAAGTTACACCCTATATAATAACTTAAGTTGTAGGTGGTTGTAACATAGTATCAGAATATGCAAAGTTCTGTATTCAAACTTCACGTGTGTTGACCAAAAGAAGGCCCCCACATGAGAGGGCATGTTGAAGGATTTAACTAGGGTAAATTAAACAGACACCCCCTTAGGTTAGGTCATATTTCAGCTAGATGAAGATTTTGGTTTTAACTTTCACTTACACCCCAATTTACTTTTTGGCCTCTGACACATGCGAATTAACATTTTTACCCTCAATTTTTTAATACAAAATATATATAATCCTAAATGACAAAAAGGCCCCTATATAGTGTATATATATATATATACACTGTTTGTACAAGCCCAAATCGTCACTGACCAAATCGTGATCATCGCCGTGCAGCGCCACCTCCACTTAAATCGCTGGCTCAATGTCGTACATCACCGCCGACCTCGAAATTCAGATCCTCACCGTTGGCAAATCAGTCGTCGGTCATCACGCAACTTAGTTCGCTTCACCATCTTCGCTGGTTTTCACATTGATGGAGCTACAACTGCGTATTTTTTCACTGTCCGA